CTTGGAAGTGATTTCTTTTTCCATGCGTAACAAATATCTGCTTGCAGTAAAGATCCAGCTTCTATGTTAAGGGCATTAAAACATTTTTCTTATAAACAGCATACTGAAAAGGCATCCAGTTTAGGCTCTGGGGTTCATTCTTACTCTTCCAGTTTTCCTCATTCTATCTGATTTACCACTAAGAGTGGAAACCCCTATGGCAGGCAAGACAGATTACAGTTAGACTAGCCCTATTACTGACCACCAGAAAACCCAGGTAGTACAAAGGTTTCCGGTTTAAGTTTCTGATGAGCAACGAAAGAGAAATACACCCATGTTGTTTAGAAGACACTGGGTCTCATGGTCTTGCTTGAGGAGTACTGGTGTGAGAGGAACTGAGGCAAAGCTTACATGTGACTGTTTCAGGGTCACATTTGTTAAAGAAGAATTCTCTTTCTAAATTCCTTTTGTCAACAATGCTAGCTGCTTAGTCAGTTAGCATTTGGTGTGTGTGTGTGTGTGTGTGTGTGTGTGTTGAGACATATTCATAGTTCTTAGCAGGTACTATCAGTTCTAAACTCACATTCCATCTGAACCCCTATCCTGTCTCTTTTGCAATTTTAGTGAGTTTTCAAATTGTGGTTCTTCATTCAATGAAAGTGTGTCACACTACCAAAAATATCCAATGAGCTGAACTGTTGGTACAAAGCTGTGACATTTACGTGACTCCAACACAAGTTCACAGTTCTTGGAAAAGGATACAGTAAGAAATTTCTATTTTGTATTAGAAGTAGAAGAGTGCAAACCTTGCGCTTTGAATGTTGGTAGTGGCAACAATACAACAAATAGTTACAATTTCAAATTATGGTCATTTTGACCTTGAGAGCATAAAGATGCCTTCCATTTACACTTGTCATTTTATATGTCATCTATAATGACTCTAAACTGTCACTGGATTGTAACTACAGCTGAAAGGAAGGATCACTAATGACCTCTCTCGTCTGTCTGCTTCTAGGCAATACCTTTGGTGTAGAGGTCTACAATTTTAAAAGTCTGTTTATAAAATGAGCAAGAGAGTCATGCCCCACATTGCTTCAAAAGTTCTCTGGGTTCCATATGAATCAAAACTGGTGGGGGTTTATTGGCATACATTTGACATTTTCTTAGATACCTCTGCAGCCAAGAAACAACTCAATGAACATCCTTTCCCTGAATACAAATTCATTTTCTTAAGTTTCAGGGGAATGCAGTAAGTTCCATTGATTTAGGGAAAATCATCTCCTTTTAGAAGCAGTGTGTGAAGAATGAGAAGAATTGGCGACAGTGTAAATGGATCTGACCAGGCTTGACCATCTCATGCCACCCCTCCATCATCCTCATCCTGCCAAATATGCAGTTCCTCTGCTCTTTTTGTTACCAAGTCAGCTGTTACAACATAGGAAGTGTTCAATAAATATTTGTTTAAAAAACTGGATATTTAACAGATTCTGAAGATCAACACTAAGTTATTAAGATCTTGTAGAAGGTAAAATTAAAAAGTGAGGTATTGATTAGGAAATAAATTTTGGTACATCCTCTTGTTTAATGAAAACTAAATCAAAATTTGCCTAGAACGGAATCAGTATAACCTCTGCAGGTCTTGAAAATTGTGGCAGGTTTCTATAACTGGTACTGTTTTGTAGGAGCATGCTAGAGGAGACCATACTGCTGGGTCATGTGATTATACAGATTTCATCACTTGAGGAAATGTTGGATTTTTTATATGTGGTTGGCATGACATAATGAGAAAAACATTATTCCCTCACAAAGACTGACCTCCAAGAAGTCTATTACTCAATCTACTGAAAAAAAAAAGATACAATTGGATTTTAACCTATATTTTAGTAATTAGTGGTCAATACATGGGAGGGGGGACTTAAAATGGTCTTTGACTTCTTTTAACCAATGAAAATTTAAAAAAAAAGATAAAGGGGATGAGGCTGATCAGACCACTTGATTTGCAAATCAGTTTGGCCAGAGTATAGCTGGGAATCAAGTCTTTAAAAAAAAAAAATAGGGTCTGAAGCACTGGGGCTTTGCCATTGATAGTGCAAGATTTGGAAGCTGAGCACACAAAAAGACTAATTCGCTAGATATACCATAGAAGCAAGGCAACAGCTACAGGTCGTACCCTTGTGCGTTGGTGCAAAGACTCAAAAGTGTCTCAACCTGGCTGCATCCAACTACATCCTTCCCTTTGAAAACCAGAAATCACTGTAGCACTTGCCTTGCATGTGGCAGATTTTTATTGAATGGGTCTATTAATGGGAAGAACAATCCAGAGGAATCATTGTGTTCTCGATTTTTACTGGGAAAGGAAGATACAATGAGATAATTCCTCATTAACACTATTTGTAACTTTAATCCAGTATTGTCTATCAAGTGCTATCAAAACTTTCTTCTATATTTTTAGATAAAACACAGCATGTACTCATTACTAGCTACTACCTAAAATCTGTTGCACTCTAGGTTATGGTACATGTGTATTCTGTATTTGTGTGTGTATAATAGATAAAGTATGTAGGGTTTTAGTTGTTGTTAAAATACGTAGCCTGTACCTATTATGATTTTTCGAGAGATGTCTGTGCCTTACTTAGATATGTGAAGAATTGGAATGATTGTTTTCATGATTAGAAAGGTAATTATCCTTAGCAGAGTGAGACTTTCTATCCCAACTGAATAGAGAGAGGAAGGAAGCTCTGTTTTTGAAGTGTCCTTTTGGGAAAAAATAAAGCTGCAAAAGAGAAACCCAGCTGAACACAAAAAGGCAGGGTTTAAGCATTTTAACAAAAAGCTGGACTGAAATGAACATATCTAAGGGTTGAGGAACTGGACAGTCATTACTCCCTTCAACTCTACCCTAGTCAGGTTTGCCCTGTGCCTCCTCACACCCTGGCCTTAAGAATGACCACCAGAGGTTGGAATGGTTCAGCAAAAGTGGAATTCTTCCATTTGCTTGAATGAAGGAACAGTAGCCTATTGTCATTTTCTCTTCGAGTCCCTGCTCTTCAGGTTGTGTAGGCAGGGGCCGGGGAAACTGGAGATCAAACACGCAAAAGGGCAACACTGCAGATAACTCTGGTCACACTACCACAGTCAGAGCACACTCCCATCAGAGTAGCCTCAGCAATCGACTAAAAGAAGCAGCCCCACACCCCACTACTGCTCTCTAGAGCATGACAAACCCAAAGTGCTTTTCATGCTAATAATAATTAGTGTTGATTTGTCCTTGAGGTGGTGTAGAGATGGTCAGGAACCAATTCCACAAGCAAACTTATTTCCCCACATCGAGCTGAAATACAGACTCCTCCTCACTGGAGGACTCTAAGCACATTGGCGTTTGATCAAATAAAACAGTACGTTGTAAGGAACTGAAATCTGTAAGATATTTAATGCCCAAGTCTAGGAGGCATAAAAAAATTAGGGATGCAATTACTACATAGCAGGGTATGTCTGCATTTTAAATAGTCATAAAACTTGTGAAATAATGTAACAATAGGATGTCAAAACTGGGAAATGGATTCAGCAAAATTATTGCATGGGGGAAACCATAGCACTTGTCCTATAGTTACTTAAGCTTACAGAAAAAGGGGTTGCTTGAAGTTTTCCCAGGCACCAAGTAGACAAGCCAGAGGCAGCAGTGCAAGTTTCCTTTCTATGCATTCCCTTTACTAAGAAGAGACCATGAAGTAGGCGCCTTGCAATGCATTCTGGACTGTGGTGCTTACTGTCCTAGGCAAGACCAATAAAAACACTTCAGAAAGGTAAGGAAGGCCTCATGACCATGTGAGTGCAGGCCTGCCTTCAATCAGCTAGTCACTAAGTGGAAATCTCATGCTTTTGTAGAGATGGGTTGATCACCATGTAGAACAGCTTGGTTTCTGAGGCTGTGCTCTTCTGATTTTGTTCCTAGCCTCCTCTATGTTACTGAGTTAGGTCCTCAGAATGGTGAAGGAAAACAAGTCATTTTCCTTCATGCCATTGCAAGTATCCCCTATTATCTCTACTGTATGTACCTTAAACTGGTTAACTTTTTTTTTATCATTAAAAAAAAAAAAACTTGATTTCAAAGCGTTCTGAGACCCCACCCCACACGAGGTACCATGAAGGGGCACTAAAGTGCATTTTGATGGAGGGGGTGGAGTTTAAAGGTGCTGTCTAAGCTGACAAACAAGATGACACTGTTTAAAAGAAAGGCAATTCCATCTTTCTCAGCGGAGGGAGGGCAGTGAACTGGACCCTCAGCAGAGGATTGTCCTAACTCTTAACTTCAGAGAAAACTGCATAAGGACCTGCACATATAGACTCATTTGTCCCAAATAGCAAAAATAGGCCTATGTCGTCCTTAAGAAAGTATTTGCAAATCTGCTATTCATGATCATAAAAACGTGGGCGGGTTCCAGGTGCAAATCCTCCTGGGCATGCTCTGTAGTGCTAGCTATCACAACTGCAGCTTCAATGAACATGCTGTTCATTTTCATCAAAGCAGGACTTCTAAACTACCATAAATAAAATACACAAAAAAACGATTCAATCTTTTTCTTACAATAATTACTTTTACATTAAAAAGTCACCATCATCTTCAGATATATGGAAAATTAGGACTCTAAATCTGATTATTTTCTAGTCTTAGTTAACAATCTTGCACAGGCCCGATAACCTAAAACTTGGAGCTATGATCTGCATAGCTTGGCAGGTTTCACACAGTTTGACAGGTAGGCAACTGTGAGATATGCATTTTTTTTTAATTTAGCATTTTCTAACAAAACAGTTCAAAATTGTTTAAAATCCCCATAGCGACTGTATTTTATTTGTGCCACGCCACAGTTGGGAAGCTAGAAAGGAGGGAAAGAAACACTGTCTGGAAGATTAATCACAGTCCACATTTTCTTGGTCTTCAGGTTAAACAATGATGAGCCCAGCAAATGCAATACAGTGCCTTAAATAGAAGACTTGGTCCTATAATAGAATAATTGGAGCAACTAAACCGGGACCGTCTCCACCACGGGGGATTTGATGCATTCCTCGTGCAATCGGCTCTTTTCCGCAAGGCTCAGAGAATTTTCTGCAGGATGCTCTGAAATGTGGCTGTCGCCATTCAACGTGGAGACAAACCCTTCCTGGGAAGGGCCTTTCAAGTATGAGTGAAATTCCACTTGGGGAAGATTGGACCTGTGTTCAGGATATAAGGTGTTACAGGGCACCCCACTATCGTTTTCAGAAGTGGGGCAGCAAACAATGACAGAAGGGTTGGCAGCTGGGTAGTGGGAGGCCCCATATGCCTCTTCTGCTTGTCTGGCATAGTCAACAAATCGCTCTGGGGTCATGGTGTAAGGCACCAGCGAAAGGGCACCGTTTTTGACAGTATCTCTTTCAGAATAGTTGTCAGAGATCTGGCTAGGAGTTCCTGGGATGTGACTATCAATTTGGTAGTACAGAGTTGAAGAGCTAGTGTAAAACGAAGCATTTTTTGTGTGGCTTTCATGAACGGCGGTGCCATCAGAGTAACAAAGAACAGAAGGAAGAGGCACGACTTCAGCATGGGCTCCGAGCCCTTCGACAAAGCCATCTCCCTTGTCATCATCGTCATCTTCTTCTTCCTCCTCCTCTTCTTCCTCCTCCTCCTCTTCCTCCTCATCAGATTCACTGGGGGCCAAGCTTTGTGTGCTCGAGTCAGTGACTCCACTGCAGAAACTGCTTCCATCTTCCTCCTCTTCCTCCTCCTCTCCTTGGCAATCCAATTCTTCCTGCAGGTGCAGCACGGCAGCCTGGGGTTCGGTTTCAATCTCAAAATTGTCTGCGATGGAATATTCTACAGAGTGAGAGACGGGGCCCATGGAAGCACCGTGGGCGCTTATCTCACCATGGCAGCCGTTCAGCGTGGGGATTTGCTGCTCTCGGTTTTTCTCGAGTTCAAGTTTCATTATTGTGTGCAAAAAATGAGTCCGGACACGGATAGGATTAAATTCAATTCTACCTGCTGTGTTACTACAGCCTTCTTTAGTGCAGCCACATGGGAAAGACATACGATCCACCTTGGAAGGAAGAACACAGATTAGCACCATGGAACTATTACAGACCAAATAAAACCAAGGACTTTCTAACAACTACTCTGAATTAAGTAATGCACTCAGGTTCTACTTATGTCACAGCCAATGATGAATAACAGGGAAGTGAAGACTTATCAATGAGCTGGTTTTAAATGTATGTTTCAAAGAGCAGTGGGTTGAGGATATAAGTGAGAATTTAAATTTCACTGCACCCTCCAGGGCTTTCTTATTTTCCACTACTTGTCATTCTCTTTTTGCATTGGATTTTGTTCTCATTTTGCAATCCTGGTTCTCTTCTGTTACATTCTGATGTCCCACCCACTTTTAAGTCACACACAGACTATTCTCCCAGGCTCCTTGACTAATCTAATTTCTATGACACCACCTTGATGCTACTATGTTCTTTCATTTGCATCTTAAGAAATGACTGATGCCGGGCGTTGGTGGCACACGCCTTTAATCCCAGCACTCGGGAGGCAGAGGCAGGCAGATCTCTGTGAGTTCGAGGCCAGCCTGGTCTCCAGAGCGAGTGCCAGGATAGATAGGCTGCAAAAGCTACACAGAGAAATCCTGTCTCAGAAAACCAAAAAAAAAAAAAAAAAAAAAAAAAGAAAGAAATGACTGGCATTTCTAACGGTATCTGGGGTGACACTACTCAGGGTCACACAATGCCATATTGCTATAGTCTCACAGCCTTGATGGGCCCTTATGTTGCAGAATATTTTTATACTGGTGAAGATGCGTTACTGTGATTGGTGTAATAAAAAGATGAATGGCCAATAGTTAGGCAGGAGAGTATAGAAGGGACTTCCGGGGAAAGAGAGGAAGAGGAATCTAGGCACACAGGATTCGATAGCAGACTCGGAGCAAGTTGTACATGCTGTATTGAGGAGAGGTAATTGAGCCATATGGCAGAATGTAGACTAAAAAATATGGGTTAATTAAGTTATAAGAGCAAATTGGAAAAAAGCCTAAGCTAAGGCCAAACTTTCATAATTAATAAGTCACTGTATCGTTATTTGGGGGCTGGTGATCCAAAGATAGTCCAACAAGAAAGCTTGCTACACTTGAATGTTGCAGAATATTTATTTACACTGTGTGAAGATGTGTCACTGTGATTGGTTTAATAAAGAGCTAAATGGTCATAACTAGGCAAGAGAGAACAGGTGGAATGTTCTGGGGAGAGAGAGGAATGCTTCGAAGAAGGAAGGTGGAGATGCCATCAAGACAATGAAGAAGTCAGACATATGGTACAGAGGAGAGGTAATGGAGCCACATGGCAGAAAGCAGATCAATAGAAACACGTTAAGTTATACGAGTTAGTTGGGAAAAAGCCTAAGCTAAGGCCAAGATTTCATAATTAATAATAAGTCTCTGTGATGTTATTTGTGAGCTGGTGGCCCAAAGGAAAGTACAACTACATCCTTGATACATGGATGTAAGACCCTTGACTGTTTCCCAGTTAGAATAGAAGCCCAACTCAAATGAACTTGCCCAGTGCCAATAAATGTAACAGCAGGGAATCAGAAGGCCTGTTAGCTGGAAACCAGCCCAGGCAACTTAGTAAAACCCTTTCTTAAAATAATATATTTTGCCAACATTAGTTCAGTGGGGGCAGAGTACTTGCCTATTGTGCCCACGAGGCACTATATTCAAAACAGGATGGAGAAGGAGAGAGGGAATGGAAAGAGCAAATGTGTTCTCACCAGCTGAGTGGAAGAGAACCATCCTTTGCTTTCAGTTGCCTCAGTGACTTTCTCTTTCTAAATGAATAAAGCTGTTCCTGCATGAAGTATGAGCAGGCAACGAATCACAGGGCTCTGGTGAATTAGAAATGGACAGGACCAGAGAATCACCTTGTCCAGGAATTGGTAAACTATTGCTTTTATTTTTAATTAGTTTTAAAGTTGAAGCTTTAAAAAGTGTAATCATCAGGTGAGGTGGGTGAGGCTATCTATCTACCCCTGCTATTCATGTAAAGTTAAATTGCAGGCTCTGTGGAATGAGATAGACTTTTCACTGTTTTTGAGATTATTCCCAAATTGCAAAATGTCCTCTCCTTACTTCTTCCGCATATTCCTCCATCCAATCTTATTGCCATAAAAAGACACACCCCTTTTCTTGTTAAGGAAAGCTTAGCAGCCCTGAGCACATGCTGTACATTGTAACTTCATTTAATTTTTCACCAAAAGGGTGTGAGAACATTTAGGGGTTTGCAGCCATGTCGTCGCAGTACTTTGAGGAGTGAAATCCATCACAGTAACAGATAAACACAGTGGCAGTACCCCACTAAACCTTGTTTACAAAAATGTGTCTGGTTAGATTCCACTGTGGGTTGGACAGCATCTCAACCCGATCACTGCAGAAATGACATTGAGCACAGTTCTTTCCTGGGATGCCTATTTCAGACAAGGTAAGAATGCAATTGCATCTTTTAAGGTCTGTCTGACTAGGAACTTCTCCAGTAGTTCATATCACTGGTGGTAAACTTTAAACCCTATGGATGGACCAGAAAACATGAACTCAAATGGAACACACAATGTCCTCTACCAGACTGAATGTAAAAAACAACAACAACAACAACAACAACAAAAAACTAAAATAAACTGGTGTGGATAAGAATTTTATGAATGCCCATGAATTAGGGTTCCTTTCCCCTTAAATTATGTGTCTTTCTTTTATAGCATTTTGTTCTCCAGGTTTAAAAAAAAAAAAAAAAAAAAAAAAAAAAAAAAAAAAAAAAACAAAACTCAATGACTGCTTCTTTCTGCCGTGGCATGTGACATTTTTTCTTCAGATGCCCTGAGATCCCAATCCCTACCTGACACTTAATGCCTGCCAGGCTGCAGGTACATGTTTCTGGATCGCAAAACACTCTGCAGTCACAGCCACAGTCCTCCCGAGACAGGCGGATGGCTCGCAGCTCATGTTTTTCTTCCACGTCTATCTTCTTCACTCCAGAGGCACGCAGCAGGGCTCTTCGTTTTTTTGTGGGCAGGGGTTGTAGGAAGAAGTATTCATCTACTTCTGTGTTGTCTAAATCAATGTCATCATCGGAAATGTCATCCACTGTCAGAGTGCTAGCTTCTTCGGATTCCACTGTGCCATTCTTAGTCATCTAGAAACACAAGGAAGTAAACAAGAATGTCATTTGGGCAGAGTCCAAAGTCCCCACTTCAATATTGCTGGGGATGAGCTCAGCTGTCATGCACAGAGTCTGTGCAACCACAGAAGTCAGAGGAAAGAGAACAGTGATGTCAAAACAATTGACTTTTTAAATGCTCTGCTCACAGACGATTGGTCAAAGCAACTCTTAACCTCTTAATGTCAATGACTGCAATTACAGCTTGAGTGGCCATAGTCTGAACAGACCAGAGGTTACAGACACCAATGCCCAGAAGCTCATGGTGATATCTCTGATGTCAGAGAAAATGTGCCCTGGATCAGAGGTGACCACATCTCAGTGGGAGTCATGACCACCTTATTCAGCAAACATCATGTCCTTGGAATAATATGTCTGTCTTTCAGGCCCCAGCAAAAGTACATATTCAGGACATAGGGTTCACTGTGCTGCCAGGATCACAAACACCCCAGAACACTCCAAGAAGGAGGGCTTGAGAGATGTAATGAGCCAGGTCAGCTTGCTCTCAATAAGATTAGTGCTGGCAAGGACTCATCAACCCAGTCTGAAACAATAAACGGGATTCTCAAAGGAGTGCATGCAAACCTTTGTTCAAAGGCTTGCTTTCTGTAGAACAGCTCTTGTGACCACTCATTCCCTGCCTACTCATGATGGCTGTGCCTATTTGAATTTCTTTTCTATATTAATCTTGTCCATCAGTAAGCCCTGGATATGTATTTCATCTGTTATTGTTATTAAAACACCTATTGTTTCCTTCATACAAAACATTTAGAAGTTTTTCTTGAATATGAGCAAGATATTTTGTGTGTGTGTGTGTGTGTGTGTGTGTGTGTGTGTGTGTGTGTGTGTGTGTAGGAGCCCAGTAATAAAGGCAGAAGCTTCATAAGAAATAAATCATAGAATATCTAAATATGGAAGATATTTAATTTATTGCTTTCCTAGTTCATTAATTATGGTGATTACTATGCCTGGTGATCTTGACAGATCATTCACTAGACAGTGAAAATACTCTAGAGACATCAGACATTATGCTTTCATCTTTAGAGAAGGAGTCCATATTTAGATAGAGATGTTTACTATTGGACAGCCTTCCATTGTCGAATTCTGAATGTACTGCAGAGCAAGACTAAAAGTATAATTTTGCCCTCCTGTAGAGAAGGTTCCACAGAAGAAAGGCCCAAGAATAAGTGCTTCCTAAGATACACTGTGAAGGGGCCCTGAGGTGTGTTTTCAAAAGCTATCTATTTAAGTGTTGTGAGTATTTTAGAACTTGAGCCTGTGACCTCTGGAAGGCCTTATTGGGCATTGTTTCTTAGTAGAATCCATCATTTTTCTCCTCTTGGCGTTTGTGCGAAAGTGTCCATATATGAATATGTCTGTGTATGGATGCATGTATGGGTACGTATAGGTGAGGGGTGGATATTGGATTACCTTACTCTACTTATCTCTACCTTAGTTTGTGAGGGTCTTTCACTGAACCTGGAGTTTCCTGTTTCAGTTAGACTAAATGGATAACACGCCCCCAGGATCTGTCTGCCTCAACTTCCCCTGTCTTTGCCTGCTATATCCAGCTTTTTACATGGGAGCTGGGGATGTAAACTCTGGTCCTCATACTTGTGTCACAAGCACTTTCTGACGGAGACTTGTCCCAAGCCTGACATCCTTTCTATATGTACTAGTTAAACAGTGATGTCCAACACCAAGGTGTTACCTTGGATCTGGTTGGCATTTCTGTTAATTCTCACTTTATGCATGTTTCCAGGTATAAAGATCTGATTTTTCTAAGAAATTCAAGAGCTGTAATCTATTTTCTTCAAAGTCACCTACAATGTTGAGGTGGTCTTCCAAAGTTTGCTCCCCAACTCTTCGAGATCATTTCTAATGAAGACTGGGAACAATCTAGCTGAACTTGGACAACTGGCCATGTGGCCCAGTTTCTGGTTTCTGTGTTGCCTCTATTACTTGCTTTCCCCCTCTCAAGTCTATGGTGAGGTAGTTCACAGAAAGCACCATAAGAGAAGAAGGGCTTATTTGGGCTTATGGTCTGACAGAGCACAGTCTACCACTGCAGGGAGCTTGGTAGCAGGGATGTGAGAGCTTTTCACTGCTGTGAATACCAGGAAAAAGAAAGCAGGTAGCTTGTTTACCTTTTCCCTTCCTATTAATCCCATGAGATAGTGCCACCTACATGTAGAGTGGGCCTTCCATCCTCAGTTAACCCTTTCTGGAAACACTGTCCCAGATATGTGTCTCATTGGTAATTCTAAATCTAGTCAAACTGATAATGAGATCAATTATCATGGTTGTCTTTGAGACATTTTCCCTACCAGGCCCTTTAACTGTAGTCTTGTGTGTGTGTGTTCATGTGAGTGTGTTTAATACAAGGTTTAAACTGCCTAGTTTAAATGCTTTTAAGATTTGAGTGCTACACTTGCTGCTTTCAAACGTACTTCCTCCACTGAGAGCAATACTAGAGCAAACCAAGAATCTCCCTTCTTTTTCCCTCCAACACCTATATATTTTGTGCTCAATATCTAGTGCAAAGAAGTTCCCAGGGTTTGTCCAGGCTTGCTTCTTCTGCTGTTGCTGAGACACTTACTTCATGGTCATCGTCACTGGTAAGACCATTCAGGTTCTATGGGACTTCTCTCCCATGACCTGAGTGCCACTTGCAAGTGTTTTCCCTACCTCAAAACAGAATCATTGAATTGTCAGACTTGTCTTTAAAAGAAGCCTCCTTATTTTATACATCAATAAATTTCAGATTTCTTGTGACCTCTCCAGTGTAGATTGATAGGAGACACTTCCCATTTCAATATTCTTTGCTTACATCTCACAGATGTAAAGGTTCTGTTGGTTAGTGGTATAATTCTGGGAACAAGTTAATAAGCTCATTTGCTGACTGGATATTGATTGGTCAGTTCTCAAAAGAAAAAAAATACAAATGGTCAATAGTTACAAGAAAAAGTTCAACATTTTAGCAATAGGAAAATGCAAATTAAAACTACATTAATAGTCCATTTCACCCTGGGTCAGAATTTATATAATTAAGAAAACAAATGACAGCAAACTCCAAGGAAGATATCTGCAAAACTGAATACTTATATTCTGCTGGTAGGAATATAAACTAGTACAGTTACTATGGAAATAAGTATGAAAGTTCCTCAACAAATATCAAATGGAACTATCATATGATCCAGCAATTCTATTTCTGGCTATAAACCTAAAAGAACCTAAGTCAATAAACTACAGTGATTGATACTTGGGCACCCAAGTTTGCTACAGTACTGTTCACAAGTGTTAAGTTATGGGACGAGCCAAGATATCCATCAACAGATGATTAGATTAAAATATGATAGTTATTATTTAATTATAAAGAAGAATAGAATTGAGTCAATTGTAAGAAAATGGATAAAGGTAGAGATCATTAGGTCAAGTTAAAGAAAGGCAGATTCAGATTCAGAAAAACAAGTATTTTTTCTCACATGCAAAATTTGGAACTAATATGCTTATTTGAATAAATCATGTGTGAATATTATCACACATAAATTGTCATATGCATACATGTCAAGAAAGGAGAAGAGAGACAATATTATGGAAGAAGGGAACAAAAGAGAGGCAACTGGGAAAAATAAAAAAAAAAACGTACTGGGAGAAGAAAGACAAATGCAGTCTCTCTCTATCCATCCATCCATCCATCCATCCATCCATCCATCCATCCATCCATCCATCCATCCAACCATCCATTATCTCTATGCGAATGACATGAAAACAGAAGAGGGACTTTTTGGAGAAATGAAGGACAACAGGAAGGGCAATGATGAGAGGCATATAAACAAAGCTTGATGATATACATGTATGAAAACATTATAGTGAGACCCATTATTTTTACAATAACTGAAAAAAATCACGTAAAAAAGAAAAAAAAAAAACAAACAGCTGTGGTGGTGCACACCTGTAATTCCAGTATCTGGGAAGTAAAGGCAAGGGAATTGCAGATTTGAGGTCACCTCCAGATACATATTTAAAAAAAATGTTTCAAAAACCAAGGGGTAGAGATGTGCCTTGGTGACAGTGTATTTGACTAGCAACACACACATACACACACACACACACACACACACACACACACACACACACACACACGTATAAGGTATAAGCACTATCAAGAATCTTGGCCTTTAATTCTTTGGTTTGCATGTGAAAGAAGGAGAAATTAGAAGTGGAGGTGAAGAGAACTGTAGAAACAGGTATGATACAATAACAGCAAGTTGTAGAATCGGTGTATCTGAAGCTTATGTGAGCATTTTACCTGCTTTGGTGCATTCAGCATCACAAAACCTCACAGGGTACATATTATTACTCTGCCTGTTTACCTACTGAGAAAACTGAGGAATGATAGTTTGCACTAGGTCATGATCCTAAATATCTAATTACATACAGCTTGTAGTGCTCACAGTCATGGCAAACAGACACACATTTTACATAATTAATAATTTCAGGACGAGTGTGCTGGCACATAACCCAATCACAATAGACTAGAATAAACAGACAATGAATCCAAATATTTTTAACTCCATTCAGAAGGATTTTCTGAGCTAGGGTTAACACAACACTTGAGAACACACAGTAGACACACGCAGAAGGGGGGCTGGCATAGTTGTGATAAAGGAAAATTGTCAGAGGTTTACACAATGAATTAATGGCGGAAGGTAACTTGGCAGGTTGGAACCAAGGGATGCCACAAAGTCACAACTTACAGCAGAGCTCACGTTAGAGGTTTATTAGGGAGGTGGAGGGTGCAGAGGTGGCCTCTGAGCTACAGCTTGCTTTTTATAAGGGGGTATAACACATGTGCATAGGGAGAGTGCGAAACTCATAGGTAGTCACAGTGTCACAGCTTGGCTGCTGTTGCTGACATGTCCTGCTGTCATCATTCAGTCCTCGAGAGCAGGCTGGTGTAGATGCCTGAATGC